TTTAATATGACCACATTGTTAAATCTGTATCATTCAGGGCACCGTGTCACATTGAAGTAATGCCAGCGGTTGCCAAGGAATGAAAGCAAATCCTTATGTTATGGGAATATATTGCAAAGTTAATGTTAAGCCACTGCATATACAGATGACATCATGCGCACAACCTGTCATCTCACATTGACTTTTTTTTGTAGCTATAATGTTCAGCATGATGGTGTCTGGTTGTTTTGCATGCTTTACCTATACTTAAACATCTCACATTCCTCAAGTAAACCTTAAATGTGTTTATATATAATGACAGTCATTTTGGGCCTATACTGTGTCCAAACCAATATGAGATGTAAGATGTTACACAATTGCATTCAAAGCATTCCATCGGCGGACATGAAATTAACTTTTTTTTTATTAAAGCTCCTATTATGGGTTTTTGAAAATGACCTTCCAAGTAAATGAAATGATACAGCTGAGTTTAAACTTGAAAGTGCACCGTCTAAAACGATTGATTCTTTAACGAAACAGTCAACTCAGAGTCGAATAAACGGATCGTGTTGGGTTCGGATCTTTTGCTTGAATGCATCGACTGCGATTCATCAACAGATATGACATGCCGGGTCTGGTAAAACGTGAACGCGCCTTTCCCTTCAGATACTAGCAAAATACAGGAGATCACAGGACTGATCATGACACAAAGATGGCGATCACTGACAGATGGAGATTCGGCTGTGGGGAATAAAGGGTTAAAGTTCACAACAACACAGTATAGCCGACCTAGTGCTATGTTTGCTCCTGTCATTTTTCAGATTTTTGATACAATAACCTACGCTGTAGCGCGGGATTTGCCGGCCGTTTGCTATTAAAGGAAGAAGCAGCAGAGACTATTATGTATGGGACTTCATCAGACTTTGACAGGGATTTTGTCAGTAACAGTTACAGTTTATATGAATCGGTTTCTCCGGATCATAACATATACGTGTTATTAAAATTGTTGCCTAGTTTTCTGTAGTTTGCAAAATATGTATTTAATTGTGTGTTATAACTTGTAATCGTTCCGTGTGGCTTGTAATCACTTGTCTAATATAGATCAGTGCTTGTACTGTATCTCCCAGGTTAATACTTCATGTGGCTATTCACATACTGCATTCAAAACCACGTCGAAAACGCGTTGCGTGCTTCTTCCTTCACTGATTTAAATGCGTTTCTGAACTTGCAATCCTCTGCTGTTTTTCTTTGCTATGGCCACCATCAGCTGTTCGTTACACGTGCTGCGGTCAATTTTTAAAAGAGTTTATGTTTTGCCACTGTGTGGATTAATACTGAATGTGTGTCATTGTTATTACTTGGTGTGAGATTTAAGAGTAGAGTAATATGATGGTGTTTTACATTGCTTTAATGCATTCTTGCATTGGGATCTCATACTCTCTGCTACTTCAAAGGCATGGTGGGCGCTTCTCTCTGTCTCGCACTGAACGCAGTCGATCAATCACAACAGACTGGGTCATTGGCTCAATCAGCGCAGATTAGCTTTGCGCTAAGGGTGGGTTTGGATCAAATGAATCTCTGAACGAATCATATAGGAGTCGTTGGGACAATTAGGTAAAAATAAATGCATATTATAAGACAATGAAAGTTTTTTTGACCTTGCATGCATATCAGCCTGTCGTTGGAGACCCCCAAAACCAAAATATGACCTTTTTTATAATGCAAAATAGGGGCTCTTTAATGGTTATACTATAGAGCTGTTGAACGCTGACTTTAGATTTGCTGATAGACATTCTAATGTGTTTTAATGTTCTTAGACGTTACTAAAGTAGTTCCAAGCAGGTCTTGACTGCACTATGCCAAATTACTTTCAAAGTCAAAAATCAAACAAAGCAGAAAGCTTTGAATAAGACAAAAAAAAATAGGACAAAAACTGAAAAATGTCCTGAAATACAACATCTGTCTTGTTATGTGTGGTAACCAGTCTAAATAGGTAATAATCAACAGATAAGTTAAAGCAGGGTTGTCAGTCATTGATTGAATCAGTCACAGGCAGAGTGCAGTGGGAGAGTGTGCAAGTAAATGACAAGTGAAGCGTTCGCCGTTGTGATATTTTTTAAAACAACAGGGGGTGATCAAAAGCATCTGACCGTAAAATCAGAGGGATAAACAAAGAAGTAGGAAGTTTCTGGAACTACGTGATATCATTAATATCATTCAAGTTTTTAAAACTAATTATTTTTTATTATTTTTATGATTTATAAATCCATTCAAGATTTTTTCAAATTAAATCATCACTTGCTTTGGTTCATATCTTGGACAGTTTAACCTATTAAAGTTTATAAAATATTAATGACAAGAGAACAAGGGTTGCTGTACAAATATATTGTTTATTATGCCAAGAATAAAAGCAAAAAAATGTACACTTACTAAAAAATACAGATGCTTTTTTTATTATTTTATTTAGCCCACTCCACAATTCACACATTCCTGTCTGGTTAGTTTCTGTCCTCTACTTATATGCTAAAAGGCAATAATGGTCCATAAAAATAACATTCCTGACCGTCATCACCAATAAAGCCTAGAAAAACAGGGCATCAGTATATAGTATTAAAAAAATATTTATATAATTGTGTACTTGGGTCTCCACTTTTGACATGACCTGTATTGGCTTTAACAAACTTATCCCTCAGGTTTTTCCAAACTTTTTAACAAAAACAAAACTGTAACAATTGGCAATGGCACAGTAGCTAGTGCTGTTGCCTCACAGCAAGAAGGTCGCTGAGTCGCTGGTTCGAACCTCGGCTCAGTTGGTGTTTTTGCGTGGAGTTTGCATGTTCTCCCTGCGTTCGCTTGGGTTTCCTCTGGGTGCTCTGGTTTCCCCCCACAGTTTAAAGACATGCAGTACAGGTGAATTGGGTAGGCTAAATTGTCCATAGTGTATGAGTGTGTGTGTGTGTGTGTGTGTGTGTGTGTATGTTTCCCAGAGATGGGTTGCGGCTGGAAGGGCATCCGCTGCATAAAAACATGCTGGATAAGTTGGCAGTTCATTTCGCTGTGCGACCCCGGATTAATAAAGGGACTGAGCCGACAAGAAAATGAATTAATGAATAATTATTGGTCATCTAGTTATCCCTTGGACTCATGGACAGATCATAAAGATGTATGTACAGTTGTTTTAGACAAAATCTCAGACACAATGATTAATATTCAACTCAAATCAAGCGCAGCGCCACGTAAACTGTTCGCTTATGTCTTAAAAAAGTTAGTTCACTTCGCCAGCCGACATCATGTCACAAGCACCGAAAGCAGCCCTCCACAAACACAGCGATGATGTCACATTTGTTGTGCGCACTCAAGCAAACTAGCGAATGCGTCAACTATAAAACAGGCTTTAGCTACCTCTTTGCAAATATATTTGAGCATATTTGTGACTTGGTTAATCCCAATTAACTCGAATTAACATGTTGAGAAGCACATGTTGGTGTCTTCGAGATCACACAGATGAATAAAGACTGTCACTGAGTTGCTATGGTTTTGAACTGAGTTGCTATTATTTTGAACTGTGATCAAAACTCACTGGAACAACCTTTGGATTACTTGAAGCCAATAAGAAGCAACAATTTCCAATGGCTATGAAATAAGCAGAACAATTTCTTTTGGTGCATTGTTTTTTGGAAAGTAATGTATACCCCAGATAGCATATGAATGTGGGCCACTCAGTTATGTAAAACTGGTGGTCTTCCTTCGGCCCAGACAAAATAAATGTGAGCCTGATGTGCCCCACCTGTACATGGCAAAAGGGGGCCAAAGATTCAAATTCATACATGGGCCATTTAAGGCAAAGATTTGGCACTTATGGCAAAATGTAATCTGAATGTGAGCCTAATGTGACCCATGTGGAAAATGGTAGATTTGACCCAAATGACTAAGGATAAATGTGGGCCGCAATTGGCAAAAATATGGCATAGTCATTTAAGGGTAATCTGGGTTTAAACCCAAAGTGGCTCACATGTGTAGGTGCAAATGTGGCCCAGTTATCTTAAGACATATGTGGGCCAATTTTGGTGAATATTTGGAACAGTAAGGGGTCATAAAATGGGTGTTAATTATAGGGGTTAAACCATAGCTCTTTGACATGGCAGATATGGGTAGTAAAATACACTGTAAAACATTTTGTCGTAAATATACAGAATAACACTTGTCAGCCACATACTTTGTTTTTACAGTCCTGGGCCAGAATAAAAGCAAACTGTGGCCCAGAATAGGATCAGTTCTGGTTCATTTGGTTGAATTCTGGCTGATATGTGATTTTGCTATGGTTTAATTTTGGCCCAGATCTGGCAAACAGGAACAGACCGCCCAAGTGCCATCAATCCATGCGTTATGCGGGCCCGATGTAAGTGTCTGGTGTGGGCCGGATTTGAGCCACACGAATTTTGCTAGCTGGGACCTCAAGTGTAGCAACCACCTAATGTGTGCATTGTTTACTAATTCTTTTATTGCATGTGATCAATTATTTCAGACATATTAGTCTGCTTATATGATGTAAAAGCTCCACAGTCTTTGTCTTTATGTCAAGATGTGTTACAATATGGAGGAAAAGAGCTATCACTACTCCATTTTACAGTGACTTTAAACATATTTTCAAAAGGGCTTTTAATCTATATATGAAGCGGATGTTTCATTAAATTCCTTTTCTTCAGTGTAGAAGTCGTCAGACTGGGGTTTTGGGTGCATTAATGAGGAGAGAGGGAGAAAGGAAGAGAGAGAAGAGAGAGAAGGCAGTAATGTTTGATGTTGGGATGTGATTTCCATATTGGGTCACCTATTTAGGGAGCGAGCATAATCCATGCTAACGTCTCCAGGTTTCTGCAGGGAGAGTGAGTGAGCCAATCGGCTGCTGCCTACGCAACACACACTCAGATTCAAGTTCTTGCGGCAGTCGTGATGATGCAAATAAACAGCTGCATCCTTACTGACTGATCTTTCTGTTTCTCTATCTCTCCTTTGGTCTTCAGACAGGAACACTGGAATCCAAAATTCAGCAGGACTCAACAACCCGGGACTGTGACCATGAGCGAGCGGGGCGAGGGAATGCCCACATCACTCGTAAAAACAACAACAACAGCCCCCCTCCATCCAACACCAGCACGGGTTACCAGTACCCGTACTCCACCCTCTGCAAGCCTACACCAGATACCAACATGGAAGACTGGGCAAGCAAGAACCTTAACCAGCACACACAAGGCCTTTTTCGTAGACGCGTCTCCATCGCTAACATGCTGTCATGGAACCGTGGCTCCATTAAGAAACCCATGCTGATCACTAATGATCGGGCTATCAAGAAAGAAGCCTGCGAGATGTTCAAACTGGTCCAGGCCTACATGGGCGACAGGCCAGTTAGGTTGGACAAACACCATGCGGCCCTTCAGGTGGTGACAAAGTGCTGGGGGATGCAAGGTTTGAGGGATGAACTCTACGTTCAGTTGGTGCGACAGACCACCGATAACTTGTGTTTGAGAAGCTTGGAGTCCGGTTGGGAGTTGATGGCCATCAGCCTAGCTTTCTTCTCACCTTCACCCAAATTTAGGCACTATTTGGAAGGCTACATCCAACGACACCTCGAGCCCAGCAATGACAAGAAAAGTAGGTCTTTGAAATATTTATATGAGATCAATGATTTAAGATACATAGTTTATCTAATCTAATGACATTCATGCATTTGAAAGTGTGTCCTAAGTGTCTAAATACCTTTTGGGGCCAGTGTGTGTCTTGGAGGGTCTGGTGTTTTTGTTTGTAGGACAGTTAAAGGACACACACAGGGGAGTGTTTATGTTTTAGGCTATCCCGTATGGATTCAAAGCCTGAAACACTCATATACATACAAACAGAGTAGGCTAATATTGGTTACACTGCTAAAATGATTATGGCGACATGCCTACCCAAACAGGATGTAACGCTGTGGAAGAGAGAAAAATAAAACGCAAGGGTAACTGCGGGTTAAACGTCATAGGCCATGGAACAATAATGTCATGCATTGTTCAGACGGAGTGTTGGAGCATATGAGTGTGTAAAATAAAAGTTTTATTGTATCTGACAGTACTCCAGAACATCATGGAGCAGCAAGACATCAAAAACAAGAAGAACTCAAAGTCCAGGAAGAAGAGGAGACAGAACAATGACGAAGGAGAGGATGAGGGTGAGTTTTATGATGGAATAAGCAATTTGCTCAATAATTCAGGGAAACGCATAAGCCATCTTAAAGGATTTTGACAGGAATTGTCAAGGTGAGGAAATGGCTGCCTTTTAATTCATAAGCGGGCTTACCAATTGAATGGGCTTTATGCACAACTAGGGCCCTATCATACACCTGGTGCAATGTGGCGCATGGCGCGACGCAATAGTTTTTGGCTAGTTTCAGCTTGGCGCAAGAGTGGTTTTGAGGTGTTGCGCCACGCTGTTTAAATGGCAAATGCATTTGCGTTCATATGTGCACCCATAGGCGTTTTGGTCTAAAAAGGAAGATGTTCTGAGGCGCATTGCTGGCGCGTTGCTATTTTGAGAAACTGTAATAGATTTTTCAATAGACCAAAACAAACCTGGTCTAAAGTCCAGCGCAGAGTTGCGCCTCGCTTATACACTGCTTAATACACACAAGATGTAGAGCAATACCCAAACATCTTTACATATGAAAAAATGTAAATATTAAGGATATATATAGGATATAATAAGAATATATATATATAGGATATAAATATAAAGGATTAAAATATTACAAAACTTATTATTTTCTAGCCTACATAAATATGAAAAACCACTGCTTTTATGCCTTCTTCATCTCGGGGGACATTTCAGTTCATTCTTTACAATTTGCTTTTGTATAATGTTATTATTATTAGCAGTATTATTTATTATATCCATATTTATATTTGTTTTATTAAAAACAAGCTTAGATTTGCCCACCTGCAGGTTTTAGACCATATGGGGCACAGCATGTATTTTACGATATAACTCAGGTTTTTGAACACACTTCGTTATTATTGTTCATTTATTCGTTTGCTGGAAATTAGAACTGAATTTAGAAATAGTTTTGAAACAAATATTTGCACTTAACAAACGAAATTAATTATTTATAGGCTAATTGATGTCTGTGCGTAAAGGTTTCCCTATCCAAGAGCGAAAGTGAAAGTAGATCATTTATCTGTCATTCTTGCGCGGTAGATGCTCTTTTTAACTGTGATGTCGCACAAAGCAGCTGCACAAAGGATAAAGCTTTAAATAAAAGTGAAATTGGCAGACTCCTTCTACACAAAACACGAGTGCTGGACTACTTCTATGTTTACAAATACAAGCACTGCTGTTTATAGGTAATGTCTGTTTATGATGTCAGAATTGATTTTGGAACTTTGGAATGGATGTGTGAATGGTCTTTTCCAACAGCCTCTGGTGGATTTGCAAAAAAAAAAACTGCAAAAATTGTGGTTCCATCTCTAAATATGTATATAGGGGAACATAATCAGAATGAGACTGGGTTGCATTTTTCTGATTAAGCATAAGGAAACACTTGAGCACTACCGCATACTTCAACACAATTCTTAAGGTTGTTTGTGAGAAATTAACCTTTTATGGTATTCATTTTTGTTTTAGGGGAAAAAAAATTATTTCATCCAAATTTTTGGGTGCTTGGTGGTCCCTTATAATAAATCAATCATAAAATGTCCTCCCCTCAAAGTTTTCTGCATATTATTATATGTAAAATATAGGCCAATACTTTGGACATTTGTAATTTAACAAGTAATATTTTATCAAACATTAGCCATAAATTATGTATTGGATGTTCCTGTGGGGTACCGATTGAATGTGCACACAGTGCATACTGAGAGTATTCATAGCGCTTCATTTTTTCCACATTTTTTATGTTACAGCCTTATTCAAAAATGTATTAAATTCATTTATTTCCTCAAAATTCTACACACAATAACCCATAATGACAATGTGAAAAAAGAGTTTTTGAAATTGTTGCAAATTTATTAAAAATAAAAAACCTGAAAAATCAAATGGACATAAGTATTCACAGCCTTTGCTCAATACTTTGTTGATGCACCTTTGACAGCAATTACAACCTCAAGTCTTTTTGAATATGATGCCACAAGCTTGCCACAGCTGTCTTTGGGAATTTTTGCCCATTCCTCTTTGCGGTACCTCTCAAGCTTTATCAGGATGGATGGGATTTATCAGGATGAGACTGTGTACAGCCATTTTCAGATCTCTCCAGAGATGTTCGATAGAATTTAGTTCTCTGGCTGGGCAACTCAAAGACATTCACCGAGTTGTTGTGAAGCCACTCCAATGATATTTTGGTCAAGAGCACTCTGAAGCAGGTTTTCTTTCAGGATGTCTCTGTACATTGCTGCTTTCCTCTTTCCCTATATCCTGACTAGTCTTCCAGTTCTTTCTGCTGAAAAACATCCCCACAGCATGATGCATGAGGATGGTTTGAGTACTTGCAATGTATTTGCCAATGCTTACTATTCACTGTGGAACCTCAGAAAGCAGTTGTTTGTGAATGTGAAGCAGAGGGGTGCCACATTTTTGTCACTTGGCTTTAGGTCAGAGGGTGCCCAAACCCAATCCTGGTGGGCTGGTGTCCTGCAGAGTATAGCTCTAACCCCAGTTAGACACACCTGAACCAGCTACCTTAAGCTCTAACTAGCATACTAGAAACATATTAGCAGGTTGGCAACTACTCTCTGCAACCAAACTCTCATTTGTCAACTTAATCAACTTAGTCAACTTAACAAACTATTAAGTCAACATAATCGATTTGTGTTGGAACAACATGAAGGAATCAGGTGGAACCCAGGTTTTTTTGACAGTGCTGGTCTTTCATCAACATCTCCTAAACATGCACATAATGTAGTTTTCAGATATTTAAATGGACACAACCAACAGCAGCTTTTTCAAAAATCTGTGACTCAAAAACATCAAAAAATGTATTCTTTTTCAGTCCGAAAAATGACGTTCTTGTACAAACAAATAGGCCTATAAAAACCTATAAAAAATTCCTGTTTTGGGCTGAAAACATCATGTTAACGGCCTCTATGGCTATTATAAGGCTTTTTCCATCATTAACTGAACAAGAGGCTTCCAAACACACCCACTCATATACAGTCTCAAGGGGGTTTGGTGTACATTTAGGGAATCTTCCTAGCAACATGACTGTCTGAAGGGCAATATTAAGGATGCTTTTGGTCCACAAGTGAAGTAGGACCACTCCGGGAGAGAGAGAGAGAGAGAGAGAAGCTGCCCAGAACAGAAAATGAGGATCCCCCTCCTCTCTCTTTCTCTCACTCTCTCTTTTAGAAGCAAGATTAAAGCTTTGAGCAACAAGAAATTCGGCGAGTCCCACGCTTCCCTGGCGCACGGCCAGACTGCTCGGGCTGAGAGAGAGAGCGAGAGAGAGTTTTGGGGTTGAGAGGCAACAAAGATCCTGAGAACGTCTTTCAGTCTTGAAGTGAGAGCGATAGGGGATGGATAGAGAAAGAGACACAGGCAGATTGAGGCACAAAAAAAGGAGAGTTGGACATTTTTATCAGGTTACACCCTCAGTGGCTGCCATCCAACTTAACCCTCAGTTTATTCTTTCATCTCTCCTCTATACTGAGTCTTTCTCAAGAGCCCTGCTAGAAAACAAAGGCCTTGACGAGACAGCTCTGCGTGGGCTCTTAATAATGCAGCTCCAGCCTGGCCTTGCTTAATTACACTGTATGGTGCTCTTCATGAGGGGACGCTTGTGCTCACTTCTTTAGCGCCAGAGTGGTTAAGTAATGCCCACTGCCATTCCTTGAGGTGGAAATGCAAGTCTTAAATGCCCCTGCATTACCTAGATATTATTGAGGGCTAACATGGATAGTCCATTTTGAGCAGTCTGAGGTCCTATCCACATGAACACGAGTATTTTTAAAAACCACACTTTTTTCTATGTGGTTTTACTTTGTCCACACAGTGTCAGGTGACTGAAAGCAAAACTTACTAAAAACTACAGCCAGAGTGAAGATTTTCCAAAACTCTGGAACACAATATGGTTGTGTGGACACTAGAACAGTTTTTTTTTTCCTCATGATATCATTGTGTTTGCTGTTTTCTTTTTTTTGATTGGCCAACATGGCTGGGTTCACACCAGTGTGGAAGATGCTAATCAAATGAGGCCTAATTCCACACATTTGCAGCAAACGCATTGCCTGTTTTATGTTGTTTGCCTGCGGTATGATACTCTGCCTCTGTTCTCACGTTTGCATTGATTTTTGTATGCAATTTACTCCTCAAATACTTAATTCCTTGTTTGGTGTGAACTAAAGTGCCTTTAAGACAAGTCATTTCATTTGGTGGCCATCTTTGAAACACCTCTTAGGAGTATGCTCGGGTGTTCTGTCTAAATGGGGAAACATCGAATTCTCCAAAGCTTTGCCAAGCTTACAATTACATTACATATTTGGATTACCCAATAAAATTAAACAACAACTGTCGCATAAGTTTCATTTTTAAACATTTAAATCAAACAAAATCTGCACAATTTCTGGTTGCCCAAGCGAATGCACACTCGAAACAAACGAGATCACAACACCAACCTCATTTTTGCTGGTTCAAAAATGCAATAAAAGGCAAAAATCCTAAAACACTCGTCTAAAATTACAAATTATTTATGTTCTTATAATCTTAAAAGGGGTGTCACGGTGGCACAGTGGGTAGCATAATAGCCTCACAGCAAGAAGGTTGTTGGTTTGAGCCTCGGCCTGGTCAGTTGGCATTTCTGGTGTACGTTAGACATCCAAAACATTGTTTTGACCTCTGCACTTTTTCCACTGTCCAACTGGATTGTAGGAATGTTCCAGTTACAACAAGGCTTTACCTTTTGCTATTAAAAGTAAGCCTGGTCTAGCAGATGCAGAGGTAGTCAAAAACACATTTGATCTGATTGCTTTCATGCTGTAGATGCTCATGTAGTCGAATGAGTTCAAAAAGCCACAAAAGGCCACTGCTCTCTGCCTGCTGCTCAAGCATGTGACGGTTATGGGACGTGTTGTAAGAAAGTGCACCAAAATATATTATATTAGGTATATACAGTTACTCTTAATTCCAGCAGAAAAGCCAGTACAAAAGCAACAAGTGGAAATGTTTCAATAAAAAATCTTGAACACA